ATAACACACGTAAAGTAGAAATATCAAAATACTTAAAACAAATTTACATATAAATAAACTAAAATATTAAGCAAAATATCCAAACAAGTAATGATCAATCATGTCTCTCTTTCCAACTTCTCCTTGCAAGGTCTTCTTCCTCATTCCACAATTAGATATGACTTTCTTTTTCCTACGAAAAGTAAACAATCAATAATTATATTTACTTAAAAAAATACTTTAAAAACTAAAAGGTAATCAACACTAATATGTAAATTACCTTATTATCATCATCATCATCATCATCCATATCTTCATCCACACATTCGAATTGAGTCAACGTTTTTGAATAACCTAAGAAACAAATAGCTAAATTAAAATTTAAAAATCCTTTTCAATTAATCTTGTAAAAGATAAAAATATATTACCTTTTATATCTTTTCGGATCCAATCTTGAGTGCACATCAAAGCCTCTAAAGTGTCTTCCTTCAACCTACTATGTTGTTGACTTAAAACACGACCACTAGTACTAAAGGCGGACTCCGAAGCAACGGTAGAGATAGGAATTGCTAAAAAGTCCCTTGCAATCTTTTGCAAAGTTGGAAATTTCAAACCATTTTGTTTCCACCATCCTAAGATGTCAAAATTTTCCTTTTTTTGTTTATCAAGCAAGACACCATCTTCCAAGTAGGAAGTAAATTCTGACTTGACATTTGTAGTTGAAGTATTTTCCATCACATATTCCGAATAAGCCTTCTCCCAATCTTGACTTGTGACATCAATGTCATCTACCAATGTTGATGCACCAACTTCACTACTTGTAGGAACCATATCATTATTTGGTTGATATTCTTCAACTAAATCTTCACACATTTGTATTACCTTTTCCAATTCTTTGGGAGCATTATTCCCATACATAAGTGGGAAGAAGTAATTCAACAAAGTTATTTTATATCTAGGATCCAAAACAGCCCCTATTGACATCACCCCATTAATCAAACTCCAATATTTGTCAAACTTCACTATCATACTTCTTGCCATACTTTGTATAGTATCACTAGAAGAATCTTCCCACTTTCTTAAAGCTAATCTTATTTGACAAACTTTGGGAAAATAAATGTTTGATGTTGGATACTTAGTACCCGAGAACAACTCAGTGACACTAAAAAATAATTTCAACTTGTCACAAATTTCTCTTGCCATTTTCCAATCTTCTTCACTTGGTGCACACTTATATTGGGAATCACGGCGTTGTTTTAAACGTTTAAAAACTTGTTCGTAAGGCAATGCAGAAGCAAGCATTAAATAAGTAGAGTTCCATCTTGTTCTACAATCTTGTGCAAGCTTCTTTTCATAAGTCATGTTCAATTGATTACAAGTTTCTTTAAATTTCTCCTCCCTCTTTGGTGTTGCTACCCAAAAACCGACACTTTCCCTAATCTTTTCAATTGAACTAGAAATTGTTTGCATGCCATCTTTCACTATCAAGTTTAATATGTGGGCGCAACAACGCATATGAAACAATTTCCCTTTTAAAATAAAAGAAGAAGGTGACATCTTATCAATCAAATGGTCAATCAGAGCATCATTGGTGCTACAATTATCAACGGTTAATATTGACAATTTTCTATCAATATTCCAATCCATCAAACAATCTACCAAAAAATCACAAATGACCTCAGCAGTATGTGGCGTAGGGACATAAATGAACCTAAAAATAAATTATAATAAATATCACATAAAATAACTATATTATAATAATAACGTAAATGGAAGGGAGAAGTTACCTGATGATTCGATTCTGCAAAATCCAATTTTCATCAATGTAATGAGCTGTAACAGACATATATCCTTTGTTCTGGTTGCTAGCAGTCCACATATCAGTAGTTATTGCAATGCGGCTTTTATTCTTTGCAAGTATTTTCATTTGCTTTGACTTCTCACTTTCATACAACTTCATTATATCATTCTTCATGGTGTTGCGAGAAACTATCTTGAACAAAGGTTGAAGAGAATGGCTATAATTTCTAAAACCAATATGGTTAACCATCATGATGGGATATTCATGCAATATAATCATCTTCGCGAGTTCATTCCTAAAAACATCTTGATTAAATGTATAATTTCCAACCACAAATGATTCATGTCTGTTTCCGGATTTTTTTTCTGTCACTTTAAGCATTTTTGTTTAGGACCTCTCTCTGTGCGTTTTGGACATATGCTAATATGATCAAATAAATGTTTAGTACCATTTTTTGTATCACCACCAATTTTCTTATCACAAGATTTGCATATAGCCTTCCAAATGCCTCCTATTTTTTGCCTTTTAAAATAGGGTCAAGCATCTGATTTTAATCCCCTTTTGTTAGGACTTGTAGTGGGTTCAACGGGAGCTTCAGGATCTTGATTTTCTATATTTATTTCATTTGGAGTAGATTGAACTTCCTGTGTGAGTGAAACTCCACTACTTTCTATAGGAACTTCATTCCCTTTCAAAGCAAAATTAGGACTATTAGATGATTGAACTTCACCAACCATTCTTTTACCAAAAACCTGGCACACACAAACACAAATTTTAAAAGGCTACATGGAAGTAGAACAAAAATAATAAATATATGAAAAAATAATAAATAAATGAAATAGTAAATACATGAAATTCACACAAAAAATAATTAATAAGAAAAATCTTATATTTCTAAATATATGATGCATTACACATATTTCTAAATATGCCTTATTTACTGTAACTTTTCAATTAGAAATAATAACATATATTAATTAATTATATACATTGAGAATATATTTATTTACCTATATACATGATATATTTACTCGTGTAAAAAGTTATATGTTATTATTTCACTTAATGGCTTTGGTTTTATAATTAGAAATATAAGATATATATTTTTTTTATGGGTGATAGCATGATATATTATTGTTTATATGTTATTATTTCATTAATAATTAGAAATATAAGATATTTGGTTTTTTTTATGGGTGATACCGTGATAGCATGATATATTGATTCATTTAAAAAGTAATATTTTTTTTGTTTAATATAGAAAATTAAATTATAGTGTGATATATTAATAAAAAATAGGAAAAGTATATTTTAATATTTTTTAAGGAAAAACTGACGACATTATTTTAATTACAAATGCATAGTATAGATAAAAAATGAACACAAAAATATTTAAAAGGAGATAAAAATGAGAAATTTTTTGATTATTTTATATTTTTTTAATATGCAAATGATTTGATAACTCTAAAATTTCTAAACAATTTAATTTAAATTTAATCAAAATAATCAACTTTTCCTATAAGCAATTACATGAACAGGTTTATGAGAATCAAGGAGAAACAATCTACTTTTTTCTATAAACAATAATATAAACAGATTTATGAGAATCAAAGAGAAATAATCTATTTTTTCCTATAAATAATTACATGAACAAATTTATGAAAATCAAACCTTATTGATGAAATTGTAAGAGCTGTGAATAATGGAAGCACACCAAATAGAGAAGATGGAATTGGAAGAGGAAGATGAATGGAGATTTGACTGGAGAAGAAAAAAAGGGGTCTAACGTGTGAGACTCTAAATGTCTGGCAGAAGAAAATGAAACGCTTCAACTTTTTTAGGGTCTAATATTTACATTTCTCTCTCTTAATAAATACATGAATATTTATTTATTTATTTTTATAAATAAACATAAAGGAAATGACTAAAAAACCTAATCTAAAATATATATATATTAAATTAACTATATTAAAATAATAGGCGGGGCGGGGTCCCCGCGGGGCGGGGGGTGTATTCCCCGTCCCCGTCCCCGAAATGTTCTCGGGGGAATTTTTCTCCCCATCCCCGCCCCCACGGGGGAAAATTCCCCATCTTTGGGGCCCCGCACGGGGCGTTCCCCGCGGGGATCCCCATTAACAGGTCCAAACTGACATCCCTAAATTAACCACTACTATCCAGTTGAACGGCCCGTTTAAACCATAAATCCAAAATAACCCGATCCATTGTACAAAATCTGGTTCGAAACAATCGGTTACCTTCGGATGGTGTTTGTTTGTCCACCCCTAATTATGAATTATGGCTTTGACTGGCATATGAATTGGTTATTTAACTTCGTATTTTAAGTGCCAAAACAAAATGTTGGAATAATGATACATAAATGATAAGCATGATAGATCTTCTCCTGACACTGTTATGAGGAATCTTAACCCCATTGCTTAACACACGTTTCCTCTTATTAAGGCCAGGTAATCACTTCTATATTGCCTCCTTGCCGTATGTAATAAGGATATTAAAATAAGTTCTTTGTATTGTTTCTGAATTTTGTGCCAAGTTCGTCAAAATAACAAGGAGTTGTCTACATAGACCTAAAGCAGTAGTTTTCCAAAGTTAACGAGTGAACATCCTCGTATATCATTTGAACTCAACAAGTTATTGCATAGAGGAATGACAAGTCGCCCACCAAAATGAAAAATACGTCAAACAACATCAGGAGTATCTAAATACGAGCTAATGGAACTGATCATGAAAGCATTGATTCATCAAATGAAGATCATCAACAAGACCAAGGCTGAAGATAGGCCAATTATTTTTTGAATAATGAGAGTTATGTTCTCTACCATTTTTAATTATTTTAAAGAATTTTTTTAGAATTTACTTTAAGTAATGAGTGTCGCTCCTTTTTCATGCGTGGGCAGTGGCGATTTCAGAAATTTTCTATAGTGCAGGCTAAAAAATAATTGATATATTTTGACTAAAGAAAAATATTTTAAATTGTCCCAAAATACATAGTATAACGACAAAAAGAGTTAAAATATAAAAGAGCTTACAATTGTCTTCAACGGATTTTCATATTTTTAAAATGTTCAATGATTTTTTCATTGTCCACTTCATCAAATATGCCACTCTCTCTATATATGTAACTAAACATTCATTCAACCACTCATCTCCCATACGACCGCGTAAACCATTCTTCACAAAATTCATGGTAGAGAAAGATCTTTTAACAGTTGCAGTTGCAGTTGTCACATGTAAAATCAAAGCTAACCTCACAAGTAAGTATATCATTGGGATACACAATATGCTTTTTAGTTTTCACCAACATTTCAGAAAGTTCAGTGATTCCTTTTAACTTTGAAAATTGATCATCAGACCAAAGATCTATGATAAAAGTCTCAAACTGACTATTAAGCACCATAAGCTCCACATGAGAAAATTCTGATAGATAAAACTTAGTTAAACGAATCAACTTCTCCTTATCAAATATAAAAAGTGAAGCTCTTAGATTTAAGCTTGTTACACAAAGAAGCGACTCAATGTTCACCTTGGTAAATCTATTGTTAAGCTCTTGAAGTTGTCTATCGATCACTTCATAAAATAACTCAACTCGAAAACGATGTAGATTTGAAATCTTTTGAGCTTTACGCTTCGATCTTCCTTGTGTAATGAGTGGATCATCCATATCTGGAATGCTTATATTTTGTTTCTCACAAAATAATTATACTTCATTTAGTAAAGTATGTCAACTATTATCTCTCATACTTTGTAATCTGTCCTTGCAAACTCTAACTAATGATATATCATTTACAATATCTTGATCACTTCTTTGCAATGCTTGAGATAAATTATTAGTAATTCCAAATATATTTTTCAAAAGATTGTATACATTTCAATAAATGACAACCTTCAATTTGTTGATCTGATGATGAGCCATTTTCCTCAATAAATTCAAGGACATCAATTACTGAAGTAAACAAATAGATCAAGCTAAGTATTGTACCATAATGTGAGCCCCATCTTGTATCTCTGACACATTTCAATGTAGCTTCTTGATTTAAGCCAAACCAGCTAAAAATTTTACCAATCAATAAAGCTTCTTGAACTTTAAGCATTTGACTTTCTCTAAGAATTTCTTGACATTTCCATGAACCTCCAACAATGTTAGATACATTGTTAACCAAACTAAAAAAACAACCAACATCAACTTGCTTTTTGGCAACAACAACAAGTGCTAATTGAATTTGGTGAACAAAACAATAAACATAGAAAGCATAACTGTTTTCTTTTAAGATCAAACTTTTCAGCCCATTAAATTTACCTTTCATATTACTAGCCCCATCGTAACCCTTTCCACTCACTCTTGACAAACTTAAATTATGTGTTGCAAACAATGAGTCCAATGCTAACTGTAAAGATATAACACTTGTATTTACAACATGAACAAGACCAAGAAATCACTCAATGTCACTTCTTTTTTTACCAACATAATGTAAAACAACAAACATTTGTTCCTTAGTTGATGTATCTCGAGATTCATCAATTAAAATGGTAAAGAAATCATCTCTAACATCATCAACAATAATTTTTATGGTCTCACAAGTCGTAGATGTCACAATATCCTTTTGAATAAAAGGTGACATTAATTTAAGATTTCCACGAGCATTTTTTAGAATCATATCAAACTCTTTATCATGTATTGAAACTAAATGTATAAGCTCAAGAAAATTTCCTTTATTTTTTGAAGTAATTGACTCGTCATGTCCACGGAATGCCAATCATTGCTTCAATAGGTATCGAGTACAATCACTTGTTGAAGTCAATATTCTCTTTTCATTAAATCTGATTGTTTACTGATAGCAACTTCAATATGTTATTTTTGATTCATTAAGGCCTCACAACTTCTCCAAGCTTGATTGTGAGCACTGCTAACATTTCCAACATGTATATTCAACCTTTCATTTTTCTTACAATTTGAAGAATCGTCAATGAAAAAAGCATCACTACTTTTTTGTTTTCCAATATCAAATCTCACGGGATAACAACACAAACAAAATACAACATCTTTTGACACACTATATTCTAATCAATTTTCAAATTCTGAAAACCAATCAGGATTAAACTTCCTAAAAAGAGGTCCAATTTTTCTTTTTGGAAAATCATGCTCTCTTGATTGACAAGGTCGTTTTTGCAAGTAAGCTCTTCAAATGTTACCTCGGTCATTTGGGTGATAACATGAAATTTTTTTCCTTTCCCCTGGATCGGCTCGAAGATTGTTGCATAAAACAACTTCTAAAAATCTCTTTTCCTCACTCATTATTGACCTTAAAGGTGTTGATAACTTTCTAATTTCAACAATTTCTTGAGACTCTAATGTAAATTTTCTTTTAAAATATTTCTCCATTTTTAGCACACTAAAAAAAAATTTATATCAAAAAATGAAAAATAACATACATTAATCTTAATTCAAATACTATTTGTTGATAAGGATCTTCTTAAACACCTAATAAAAAAAACCATTTCTATAATTTTACAATGTTAAAGAGAAATATATGACAAAAATAAAATTATCAAAGAAAAACATACCTCTAAATATTAGTTGCAAATGAGTGGTAGATAAAGTCACAAAATTAAGTTGATGTTAAACTTACTCTTGAAAGAAAATAATGGAAGAGGAAGAAACAAACACAAATATCAGATGAAAATGTATGAATAGTAAGAACTGTGAGAGAATATGAATAAAGTTAAGAGAGAGAATGAGTGGAGATTGTAATTGAATTTTAATAGTTAAAACAATTAAAAAATATAAAAAGTAAATGATAATAATTAAAAAAGAAACAAAAGAGTTGAAATTGTATTGAGGAGATAAATACAAGTTAGTGGGGGTAGTTAGAGTTATATGGGGGTTGAGAAAAATAATTAATACTAATTATTAAAAGCATTTTTTTTTTGTTTTGTGTGGTTTTGAGCCCTATTCCAATCATAGTAAATTTGTTCCTCTGAGTGGGTAGGAGGCGCCCCTCCTAGTTAGCTTTTAAAATTGGACAAGATGAACTTGGAATTTCGGAAGAGCCTATATCTCATTAAATAAATTGAACTCTTAAATGAAGGATCAATATACAATACAATCAAAAGAATATAAGACGTTACACGAATTAAACAAATTAGAACTGGAAGAAGAAAAGTCGATGGATCTTGTCGGGGAAAGAATCTGACACAAGGCTAGACAATATCTTAAAATTATTACTAACTGAATGAGTTTTCTTAAATTACATATCAAGTACAAAGACCAGACAAAGAGTTATTCCCCATCAAAAGCAAGGGCAAGAACATCCAAGCTACTTGACGCCTCTGGAAAAGTCGATCATGTAAATAAGAACCTCTGACCGAGGTCATGTAGTTAAAATCTTTGGACTAAGAAAAAGTCCAAGCTACTTGATGCCTATGGAAAAATCAGTTATGTAAATAAGAACCTCTGACCAGGGTCATGTAATTAAAACCTCTGGCCTAATAAAAAGTCCAAGCTACTTGACGCCTCTAGAAAAATCAATCATGTAAATAATAACCTCTAATCGGGGTCATGTAAATAAAATCTATGGCCTAAGAAAAAGTCCAAGCTACTTGACGCCTCTGGAAAAATCGATCATGCAATAAGAACATCTGACCAAGGTCATGTAATTAAAACCTCTGGCCTAATAAAAAGTCCAAGCTACTTGATGCCTCTAGAAAAATCAGTCATGTAAATAATAATTTCTAACCGGGGTCATGTAAATAAAATCTATTGCCTAACAAAAAGTCCAAACTACTTGAAACCTCTAGCAAACTGGTATGTTTATCAAAACCCCTAACCTAATCAAAAACTAAGAATTGATACACTTCTAGCACTGATGCATGTATCTATCATTGTGCCTGGCTATGTCCGGGGCTACGTAAAATGGTTAGGAATCAACAAAAAGTAGGTAAGGCAATAATAATGCGCGCAAAACACCCCAAAGGGGCTTAAAATATTGTATGGAACCAAAAAAAGAAATTATCCATAATATTACAAAATACATCCTTAAAGGATGACTAAAGACAAAAATATTACGAATCAATGTTCTAGTAAGAACGACTTTTGAGTTTAAACACGCCAAAGATCCCCGTGAAGAAGTGAAAAACACAAGAAGGGGGGTTGAATTTTTATACTGGTTCGTTTGATCTCAAACTACTCCAGTCCACCCGTCAAGGTGATTTCGCCTCTCTCCAACGAGGACTTAATTCACTATATTCAACTGAATATTACAACTGCTTTAACAACTGCTAAACCCTTCTTGAGTCTAAACCACAAACCGGTTTCTCAAGGAAATTCTTTCTTATAGATAAATGAACAATATGTGTGTTGAATGTTTTCTGGAAAAACTATATATCACAACTGTGATAATACACAAATGAAGCTTATGTGAAACTAGAATGCTAGAACTATAGAGTAAGCAATTGAGAGCTTTAGCAAACTGTATGAGTGAGGATGAAGATGATTGACTTTAGGCGTGTAGAGTATTGTAGAGCATTATCCAATTCACTTCTCACTGATTTGTTTAAATACTTCTTGGAATAGATATGTTGATGCCAATTATTCCATTTCAATGCTCATTACGTTCTTTCCATATTGAGAAGATCTTGTCTTGGAATAAAGCCGTTGGTAATTAACCTGCCTTGAATGCAGTACCGTTGACACTTCAGAATGTTCTGCGTAGTGAAGATCTGAGCGTTCTTGGCTTTAGCTTATTCTGATTGCTTCTGAGTGCTGATGACGTTGTTAAGATCTTGATCAGAGTCAGAGTATGTTGAGCGCAGATTCTGTTCATCAGACTTCAGCGTAGCATATGTATTGATCTTCTGGTTGACATCTTCTGATGCTGATGTTGATATTCTGATGCTGATTCCATCAGAGTTTCCTGTAAATAAACAGCATAATTTTAAGTAGCATCTATGTCAAATATAAAACTCATAATTCATTTAATCTTGTACTTTGTTATCATCAAAACTCTAACTGAGGGTTGTAGAATCAAACTATGTTCTAACAATCTCCCCCTTTTTGATGATGACAAAAACTAGATTTTTCAATTAAAATAAAATGATGAAAGTATCAGAGTTAAGAGAGTAAGGAATAAAAAGTATCAGAGTAATGATGAGAAAAACTCCCCCTGAGTTGATTATTCCCTTTGATTCCTTGAGACCTTCAGCATCAGAACTTTATTGAACCTTTCTTTGAGCATCAAAATTTTGCTTCATCAGAGTTCTTCAGATTCTTGTACCTGTAAGCTTTTCAGAACATCAAAGACATTCAAATATATAAGAATGTTAGAATGTTTGAGACTTTTGTCTCAGTAGACCGTTATTGAAAAATATCGTTCTTTCTCCCCCTTTTTGTCAGCGATCAAAAAGCATATATAATCAGAGTTAAAAAGATTAGAGAAAAACACGTTTGTATTAAAACAGAAGCAATGATAGTTTAGAACAAGTAGGAATCTTACAGACAAACATAAGAAAACAAGGAAAACATAAGAAAAAATCTAAGAAGAAGGAGGAAGTCGTGTGAATGGTGTTTAAATAGATTTTGAAAAAGTTTTTTGAAAACATAAACGCTTAAGAGAGAGAAATAAATAATGATTAATAACATTAATTGATTGCTGATTTTAGGGGATTTAGGAAATATACTTAAACAGTTACCATTGACATGTGTCTCAATGCAACCAATCAGCATGTTGCCTTTTCAGAAGCGTGAACGCGTGTTCAGCCTCAGGAACCAGCTGATGACTAGATGACACTTGTTTGCTTTGAGTGGACATCACTTCTATCCTTGAACTGAAGAGCTCAGAGCTTCATGGATAGATCTGATACAATCTTCATTTCTAAATACTCTGAAAGAAGATTGATCAGAAGTTCACAGAGTAATAAACATAATTCTGAAGGTTAATATATAAAATTAAAACAGTTTTATTCTGGACAGAGCTTCATGCTGAGATGATTCAGAATGAAGTTGAACCTATCTTCAGAAAGTGGTTTTGTAAAGATATCAGCCCATTGATGGTCTGTATCAATAAATTTTAAGTTTAAAATTCCTTTCTGAATATAGTCCCTAATAAAATGATGTTTTATTTCTATATGCTTAGCCCTAGAATGCAAAATAGGATTTCTACTTAAGCAAATGGCAGAAGTATTATCACAGAGTATAGGAATGTTACTCTCATAAATCTGGAAGTCCTCAAGTTGACTTTTCATCCAGAGCATTTGTGTGCTGCATCCAGCTGCTGCTATGTATTCAGCTTCTGTTGTTGATAGAGCAATG